TATCCGATGCCTAAAAGAACGCACCCATGCTGTGTTTGTAGCGTCAAGTGGATTGCAGCCATAGGGTCGATTCTGTATCTTCAAACGATGGCTGCGTTTTGTTTTCACTGTCAGTACTGACAATATGACGTCATAAAGAGTACTGCAGAAGCGTTTTGAAATTACTAATAGTACTTTTATGACGTTACAACATTGCATAACGAAACGGATTTAGTAGTACTTGGTAGAACTGTGTAGAAATAAATAATTTTTTAAATTTTGATAAAATTTGGAATTATTAATTATATTCATATCTTTGCGTGCTTTTTCTGCATCTACTTTATTCATTAATATGTCATAACTTTTTGACATTATTCGTTTCGACATCTAAAAAACAAATTTTTTCTTGATTTCCCATTTCGTTGAATTTAGCCATCTTTTTACTGCGATTACCTGACCTCGCCAGTCGCAGTAATAGAAATAGAAAGTGACGCAAAAATTTATGACGTCATATAAACGCAAAAGTATATTGGAAGTTTACTGCGATATATTTTGGAATGGCATGTGCATGCTGTCAGTATTGACAGTGAATAATGAAACGCAGCCAAAGTGAAAATGACAAAAGTGAACAAATTTACTAGGTGTTGATCAATGAAATTATTAGTATTCTAGTAAATTCGCTCACTTTTGTAATTTTCACCTCGTTTTAAGATACAGAATCGATCTCCATTATATTCATAAACGACATAAACTGCACAAATCAAATAATATACGACTGGGGACAAATGAATTTAAAACATTTATGCCCGTATTCATAGTCAGACCTTATACTTGAGGCTTCCTTAAATTTATCTTTAGATGCTCAGTAGCCAATGAAATAATTCGTAATCTGAAGATAAATTTAAGGAAGCCTTAAATATAAGGCCTTATTATGAATATAGGCATTAATTGATCAATCGGAAGAAAGAATTTTACTAATTAGGCTGCGGTCCATTTGACGCTACAAACGCTTCGAAACATTCTTTGATCAGTCAATTCGTAAAACTCTTTGTTTTGATTGGTCGCTCAAACGCTTCGAAACGTTTGTAGCGTCAAGTGGATCGCAGCCTTAACCTATCAGAGAATGCAAATGGAAGACGAGTTGAAAAAGTAAAGTTGAATGGCAGATTACTTCACACTGTTCTGTGATTGGCGTACGAAGTCATGTCCCCTCACTCCCATGATATATATATCATGCTCGCTTCCAACAACGGCAACAACAGTCCGCGGCGATTCGTTTCAAAGTATGATTTTTGAGTGTATTCGAGCGTAGTGAAATGATTTATTGTTGTGTACGAATTTGTGGAATAACAAGTTAAAAAGAAGAGATCCACAATTGAAGAGAGAAACACAATTGTCACAAATTCGTCCGACAGATAACATTGAATTGTGTTCAATTGCGAATGTCAAGTACACGCCGACACACACGACGTGTACTTCGTGAATGTTAACGAAAGATAAATGAGTTTACAAGATAGCCTGTTTTCCGAGGATGTCGAACACGACGTAATCGTCTTTACGAAGGATAAGACACGTAAGAGGTACGAGAAAATTTATAACGAGATTCTTTGAATAGAGTATCGACGCCGACATCATGTTTGAAGGTTAGTTTCCTCACGGTATCCGTTGATAGCTGTAAACACGTACAGCTTCATTTCCTCTCGATTTTGAATGACTATTACATTTGCATATATGTGTATAGATATTGGCAAATGAAGGATTCGTGAAGATATTGAATTCGAATGAGATTGTGTGAGTTACGCATTCCCATGGTATAGGATCTAGTACAGGATTTATAAATAGCACAAGATATATATAGTTTTCGTTTTTGCTAGTACAAAGCTCGATCATGTTTCATTATTTTGTCATTGTCTAAATACTGCTCCTATCTACTTATTCTCGTATACGCTATATATGATTTGTGCTGTATAAATTAATACAAATTATTTTGGGCTTGATATATACAGCGATATATTGAGATTTGTGCATATCGGTGGGATATTTGGTGTATCAGCATCGAAATCGTAATAATTCTAAAAAGTTTAATGTCTCGTAATAGATTGTACATTTGTAAGTATCTATTTCTTTTCAATGAGATATTCATATTATTCCATCTTAAATACTTATTTAATTTCGACTATTTCAGCATTTTGTTTTCATTTGAAAGTAAAGTTGAAATTGAGACGACTTGATATAATTATCGATACAATACAATTTGTTGATTTTGTTTTAATGTAATTGGATTCTTGCGATCACAAGTGTGACATATTCAGTTGTTCCTACGTGCACGTGGTTACGTGGTATAAAGCAGTGCACTCTATCTCTTTTGTGGTTCAAAATATGGAAGCATACCTAATTGATTTCTCACTTTCATGTATTTCTAATGATATATGTATAAAGCAAATGAATTTTTCCTAACAATTGTTTGGGTACTATTATGCACTATGTATCATATACCATGAATTTGTCGTCATTCACGCTTATTAGACAATGAAAGACTCAATAAAAGAAGAAGAAAATTTGTGACACAAGTTGAGCATCGATGTCTGCTACACGCAAGTCTTTATGGAAACGAACGAGAGAGAAAGTGAACGGGTTATGTAAAAGTTAGCTGGCGTTTATCGTCTCTTCCCCTTCCATCCTTGTCTCAAACCAATGCCGTAAGGCATTACGTTCACCAAAACGAACGAAACGACCGATGCTGCGCTACTACCAATACTCCGAACAGCAGGCCGTTCAATCTCACTTTCAACGATAAATGCGTTCTTTCTTTTCACTTTTGCAGAGTGCTCGTCTTTCCGCCCGTCAACAATTATCGTCGGTTCATTATACATCAGCTGATACAGGATCGTTTCTCGGATTTGCTGCATACATTTTCGATCGGCCAAGGTTCGGCTAGGCGTACTGTAGTATGTTACAAGACCGATGTGAGAAGGTATAAATAATAAAATGCTAAGAATTATTATTTTCGATGTCTTAGCTATGAACTTTTCTGCTAAAACAGCTAAAATATTCATCTACATATGCGTAAACGTTGATTATTTGTGTTGTTTTTTTCAACGAATTTTCATAATTATCTGATTTTCAATTATCTGATTTTCAAATTTTCTGATTTTCAAATTTTCTAATTATCTAATTTTAATTATAGTTTTAATAATTAAATTAAGCTTAGTTTACGTATTTATATTACTAAATTTATATATTTATTAGAATGCATATAACGATAAATAATATATATAATAAGTAAAATTGCAACGCTGTACTCGCTGTATATCGCAAACAAAAGTAAAATTGATCGAAACTACTTCTTGATCGTAATGCCATTGCGCCAATATTATACTTGCGAATTACAATGACGATACATTAAAAATGTTTTTAAAGAAAATTGATCCAGAAGAATAACATATCATTTTTATTAAAGCGATTGGAACCCAAAGCCGAATTTTCCTGAGTCTAAGACAAACTTTGTGACAAAACAAAAGGATACGATTCACGGAATGGGTATCGAAGGCCGACGCTCACCCTCCACATCTCCAGAATGCAAATTGCAGCGGCAAGGTGAATATAAATATCACTCAAGTAGCACATACTTGATTATATATTTCTTAAACGACTAGAAAACAATAAGTTTAGAAAATATATGAATCAACACTGCTATTTTAATAAATTAATTGATAATGTTATATCATGTTGTTATAACATGACGTTATCAAATAAGATATATTTCAAAATAAGTTAGTTGCGAAAGACTTAATTTTCATTTAAATGTTCATTTGATTTTTAGCCAAGTCAGTACCAACAGTTGAGATATATAGACCACCAGCGGCTAGGAAACTTAACAATTGTTCACAGATAAATAGTACACAGACACAAGTACAATCGACTACAGATTTTTCGGTCAAGTAAGTATACTCATTTCTATGTAATTATTATCGTTAATCATAATTATTGTATAATCATACATACATACATATTTAATCGTACTCGATTTGTATGTGGTCTGCATATCTTTTTCTTTTACATTAGCGTTATGATTTTACACTTACATTTATGATTGATATCAACTATTTCAAATACATATTGTTAATATATGTATATGTATGCAGGAATGTACGTCAAAAACGACCTGATCGGGCGGTTTATGTACCTAGGCATCGCAGAAGTTTAGAAATGGAAGATAAAAAATCACAAAGTTTGAAAGTTTCTCACACGACGTTAAATGGAGATTCAATTATAAATAATAATTCTAAACTACAAGATGTATGTTGTAGTCAACAAAATGTAGACGATCTGACTTCACATAATCAACTCTCTGAGAGTTGCAACACGAAGCTCGAGGCTAAACATTTCCTACGAAATATTTCAAAAAATGTAGTTTCTTTAGGTTCTAGTAAAATCTCTGATACTCTCGATAATACCGAACATATGTATAAATTTTCGGAACAACTAAAAGATGTGCCAATTTTATCCAAAGAGAAAGAAACTGTCGCAATTAACAACCTGGACGAAAATAGTACTAATTTCAATCTGTTGGAGCCATCCAATCAAATTGAAATTAATGACAAGCAATTAGAAAAGATACAAGAAATTGTGAACGAAGATCAATCCTCGATCGAATATTTAAATTGTAGCGATGTAAATGATCATAAGGATAGACAATTAATTGAACAGAGTGTAGTATCGGATGTTCTAATAATTTCCGATACTATTCAAAAGAAAGCCAAACAGTCTGAACTTTCTCCAATTCTTGTAACACCACCCGAGAAAAAAGTAAAAAAAATAGAAAGGCAAAAAAGCAAACCGGTTCCACCACCTTCTCCACCTCTGAAAATGAATAGAGACGAATGTGATTGGGATAGTTTATTTGACGATAATGGCGATTGTTTAGATCCAACATTAATAGAAGAGGTCAGTTATGTATTTAAGTTCAGTAGCTTATCGCGTTCACTATTTTGTTGTATATAATTAGTCAGTTATTCACATATCATCTATTTTTTTAGCTTACGTCAGCAGTAGGTGAAGTAGTGATAGAACAACCAAAAAACGATTATAAAGCATACAGCAAACAAGTCGAAGTGTCCAGTGACGAATTTGCACATGTCGTAGAAATTTATAATTTTCCTTCTGAGTTCAAAACTAGCGATTTGGCAGCTGTCTTCAGTTCTTTTAAGAATGGTGGTTTTGAGCTCAAGTGGGTGGACGATACTCATTGTTTAGGAGTTTTCAGCAGTCCTCTTGTTGGTATGTATATATATTGTACATATCTAATAATTTATATCTATGAATATGAAAATATAATATATAATATGTACGTCTTTACTGATAACAGCTTAAGAGTAATATTTCATTTGTGCGTTTTTGTTGTATAACAAATTTTTCAAGCCTGTCGATTGGCTATGGGATCTGAGGACCTCTGTCCTGTATACATTTATCATACGACAAAAACGCACAAATGAAATAGCACCCTAATAACTTATTTTTAATAAGGAAATTGCATTCGAGAAAATTTATTTTGCACATCTTTGCTGCTAATAGTATAATAATCGATATTCGCCATTGATAATCATTGAAAATAGTTTTCTTCCAATAAGTCCAATTATAATTAGACTTATTGTAGTAGTTAGTATATTCTTTTTTGCTTCTTTTTTATTTTCCTTTAAGCTGCCCAAGTGTTAGCATCGAATCATCCATTTGTGAAAACAAGACCACTTAGCGAAGCTACTGCTTTAAGTAAAACGAAAGCTAGAAGAAGCGCAGAATTCTTGCAACCTTACAGGAATCGTCCCGAAACATGCGCTGCCTTAGCTAGACGATTAGTTACAGGTGCATTGGGTGTGAAACTTGCTACAGCTAGACAAGAACGTGAGCACGAAAAGAATATATTACGTGAAGCAAAAGGTAATCTCTTTGAATACGTATTATTATATACGTGATATAAAAATAATTCAGTAATTATCGAAAAAGTTGTCAAGAGAGATTTTTGCGTTACAGAAAAAAGACGATTAGCTAACAAACAACGAGAGGATGTTTGGGAGGGCATAATACCTACAAAGTAGCATTGTATATCGCTAATATAGAATATTTGTAAGGATTTGTACCTCATTGTATAGTATACGCATTCACATTATTTACATATGTGGCTGCGTAATTGACATAGCTAACCACGGCTCGCATAATGTTATTCTCGCATTAGCGCGCATGCGTTATTTGTGCCTTACTCGTCCATTCTTTACATTGAATGACAAATAGAAAATTGGACATACATTTCCCCAATTTATCCGCTTTGATACAGAAAATCTATAATAATTTATCAGTAAATAAATTCGACATGTAAATATTATAGTTAATAAATATCTGATTTATATTTATTTCAATAATTATCTTCTAGAAATTGTTGAGACAATATTATCATTTTACATATGAATATATCAGTGTAAAAAAGTAGCAAAGATGATCAGCGGTGCCCATCCATGTCTCCTACATATTTTTATGCAAGAATGCATTTTTTAAATAAATGTAATATATAATACACTAAGCAATGATTTGTTTGAAATTAAAATTATAAGTGTAATTAAGCAAACATGTAGAAAAAACTGAAAACTAAAATATTTTTGCAAAATAATCGATTACTATTATGAGTTTTTATACACAGCAACAAAACAATAATACATAATATAGATTGATCGCAAGACAATAAGTCAAATTATTACTCACTAGTAACAAGATTCTTTCACATGCACATCAATTCAATATATCGATATTTTAAAATATATCTTTACAAAATTTTATATAGCTGGACAACACACATAATAATTAATATAAAAATATATCGAAAATATTGTGGCATTAAAAATTATATTCTAATGTAATACTATTTTACAATTTTGACTTGTGCCACTTATACGTCTGTTACATGTATATACAAATGTTACAAACCAACGCACATCACATTATCTATTCATATTACAGAGTTGCCGAGTATAAAGAGTTGCTGAGTATAAAGAGAACAGATTGTATTTTTATATACAATTGTTATCAACATGAAATAAAGATATATATCACTTATTCCCTAGTCAATGTATACAAGTGATGTGTTACTCGTTACTTACACGTTAATATATCATGAATTAAGTAAGAGGATCTTTTGTGACAAAAAAGAAATAAAAATATTTTTTAAAGCATAATTTAATATTGTCTATACTGTATTTACATGACTGCCAATATAAAAACTTTCAAGCTTTCTAAACAGATTGCAAAATATGAAAAGGAAAAGATGTTCATGACATATGTTGTTAGTAAGAATAAAATTATTATAGATAAATTGTATGCATTAAATGGATCAAACATTAAAGTCTATAAATATATGAATAGATATATGAACAATAAATTGCATGTATAAGTGATGGAAAGGTTGTAAATATTTCTTTAATGAGAGAGATACACACATATAGTGTGTACAATATTACTTTTTAATGGCAGTATTACACCTTGCGTTTTTCATAAAATACAGCTACATGGTAGCAAATCGATTTGATTATTTTTTCAGTTTATATTTTTTTAGTAACAAGTATTTCTTTTCAATGCAAGGTTATGCAATCTAATTCGTTTAATATAAAAAACTATGAATTTAGTGGAATGACATGAAATCGTTACCACTTGCTACCTTTCTTCTTCTTTTTTTGTTGAACTTTGCGTTGTTGCTGACGTGGTCCAGAAGTTTCTACTGTGGAACTGTGACGAGGGTTTGGAGAAGGCTTAGCATTTGCAGGCATTTTAGTGATATCACTATAAAGAGTAAACAATTTTTTTTTAGTAATTCATCGTACATTTACAGTAAATAAGCGTATATAGGAGTACGTACTAAAGATCACTAGCTCCTGTAGCGGCTCCCTGTGTTCCTTTCATAGCGGCATCTCTATTCCTTCTATCCCGTTTCTTACGGAATCCACTACGTTCATGTCTCGGTAACCATCGTTCTGGATCTGGCATAACATTTGGATCATAATTCTTTGGTAGTTTACCCCTGCGTTTACGTTTCTTGTGCTTCTTTTGAATTACATCTGATACTGGTTTGCTGGTAAGAAATCAAAATGCATATATAATTTTAGAGCATTATTTAAACTGAAATATATGATTCGAATAATTATATTTACCCAGGAGAAGGTTCAATCTTTTTCTTTACTACTTTAGTTCCGATAACCCAATTGCTGCTTTCTAATGCATCAACGTCAGTAGTTTCGGCGAGATCATGAAGTGGTGGTAATCTTTTGGATAATGACTGTGCTTTAGTAGGGCAGAACTGTACATAAGCTACTACTAATTGAGCTAAAGTCTTGGTGTCAGATGGTGAGGCATCTACTAATTCTTGTAAAATATCAGCAGCAATCTTGAGTTCTCCACCACGTAAGTAAAAATTAGCAGCCTGTCGCCACAATTCTCCCAAATTTTCGGTAGTTTCCTAAAAGGCAATTTTTCATGTGAGTTGATACACAAAACGTCGCGTGGAAAATACAATGATGCATACATTCAATATATACCTTGTTCTTTTTATAATAAGCGACTGTATTTTTGAGAGCAATCGAGGCTCTTTCTCGGTCGTTATCAGCTAAGTGAAGTGTAACGAGCGCACCAACTATTCCAGGTAGAGATCTATCCCTTTCGTTTAGATTCTCAAGAATAGCGATTGCATCTTTTCTTTCATCTTGACTTAAAAGTACTTGCACGCTAGCCAATTTCATAGATAATTCCTTTTCGCCGACTGCATGTTCGATTAATAGTTTTGCTGCTTCTTTTGGTTTACCTTCTTTACTAAGTTGTACAGCTTTTATGAACATTGCATCTGCTGCAAGAATAATGCAATCTTTTGCAAGATTATTGCACAGTTGGTAACATTGTTCTCCCTGAAAGTATATAATAAGCATGTGTCCGTCTTAATTTAAATAAAAGTAAGCATCACACACAAACACATATATATACACAGAATGGAGAAAAAAAGATCAGTACCTTGAATAACTCAGAAAGATATAAGTTTTATGGAAAAATGTTTCAGACAAAAGTTATAGGGTGTAAGAAGATACCAACCTTTTTTCCTCACCCTGTGTATTTATATATATGCATACATATATATATATATATATACACATATGCATTATTGTATAACAAACTTACTTGATCAGTGTAAAATGCTAGTAAACACTGATTGTATGCAATATTTCTTCTTTGCTTAGAAGTTAATTTGTGCTCTAAACTTTCGTGAGTGGCACTTTTCATTCTTTTTTTACTATCAAAAACATTTTGATCTTTATTTAGACATACTAAATTGTTACTAGCTACAGCAACCAATGCAATATCATCTGGCTTGGCTTTTAAAGCAGCAGTATATAATGCATGTGCTTCTTTTTCTCGACCTTGTAATTGTAAACAATATCCAAGCTGTACTCGTATTACACCTAATTCATTTTCAATCTCCTCTTCAGATACTCCATCTTCTTCCAATCCTTCCTTGCACATTTTCTCAGCGGTTCGCAATTTCTTTTCTGCTTCTGCTAAAATAGCTTTATCATCTCCATTTCCTTGAGCAAGTAAACGGCATGCTGCATTGTATGTTAATTCATAAGTATGTTCACGTAAAGAAGGAACTTCTAAATCCTAGAAATTATCTTTATGTGTTAAAACTATCAATCTTTTTTAATGTTAAACTGTTTTAATTTTCTAAAATACATGACACTTACTGAACCTTCAATTGCTAAGTTTGCAAGCACAGCTCCAAGATTTGTTTCTCTTTCCTCTTCATACTCGTCATTTGAATTTTTAATTATATCTCTGTATACTGCAAAACATTCTTCGTATTTCTCTAGGCGATACAATATCTGAGCTTTTAGTTCTTTAATCTTTAGAGAAGGATTTTGTACATTTTCTATCACTTTTAATGCTTCAGAAACTTGATTTAACCGATACAGACAATATCCTTTTTCAAATTCCAAATTTCTAGATTAGGAAAAAAGCAATTTATAAAATATTATACATATATAATATAAATATTATAATATACAATATGTTATACGTTGCTAATTTGGGTGTTTTAACAATAAGTTGTAATGCCTCGTTGAATTTGGACAGCTGGATATAACAAATAATCTTACAGTGAAACGCTACTTCTTCATCCTGGGAAATGCCTAAAACTAAATAATGGAATGTGAATGATACCAAAGTTAACTAACTTCAAATGATACATTTTCAGAATATTTTTCGAATCTTAATTGTCCGAAAAGAAATGATATAAAAATAATTTTACGGAAGGACCTATATGAAATGATATGAAAGCGTTAAAGCAACGAGTAAATATACCAATTATTTTTGTCGTAATTATCGATTTCAGTTTCATTATTTTAACAAATAACTTAATTTTAACTTAGCTTACTTCTGTTTACAGTTTTTAGAGCCCTCTCATATTCCCCATTTTGTCCTAATTTATTTAATTCCGTATACAATACAGAAAGGTTACTTTCTTTCGAAGCCATGTTCTTCAATCAGGCACATACGTGTGACGTGTGACCAGTATGACAGCGTGAACTCGTGAAGTGTGACACACTGATAACACTGACAACGTGGAATCGCACTGGCTGTGTTCAGCCACAGTATATACGGTAGCGCAACTCTCTGTCGGCACCTTTGATGTCAGCGTGGATAAAAATGAACTGCACATGCGCGAGCGAGGTATGTAACCAATCAAGGCATTGATATTCCATCTCACCTCTTCTCTCTGTTGTAACCTTTTCTCTTTTTCTACTTTATTGCATAAGGTCTGTTCTTTTTCCATTGTAAGTTCTGAACTGGTGTATGTACGGTGCGTGTACGTGTAGGGCCATAGCACACAAAATAACTTAAGCAATAAAACGTAAGCAGTAAGCGAATTGACCAATCACAGTAGAGTTCGTAAGGCTATAACATAAGCAATAGCAAATCCAACATGTTGATTTCCTTACTGCTTACGTCTTACTGCCTTAAGTTTTTTGTGTGCCAGGGCCCTTACTGGAAGCGCGGAGGAGGCGAGGAGCGCGAAGGGAGAAAGTAGTGGGGGCGCTCCGATATTCCGTCCTTAGCGTAAGACGCACGATTGAAAGAAAAAGCGTAATTGGACGTGATGTCGGCTCGCGGTGTCCTTTCACTGTCTCACACATTTGTTATTAGCGCGAGTGAGATCCCCCGGTGTCTCCCGCTCGCCAATATTCATAATATTTTTATTATGCATAAAATGATGTAATTATGCATAAAAATTCTTAATACTGTAAAAAATTTTTGTGCATAATTACGTGTAATTTTGAGACTCATTGTAATAGCTTTGCATGCATTTATAAATTTGTAGTATTTTTCGCGCGCCGACCGCCGAGGGACACCATTCCTGCCGGTGCGTGTACATGCATAAAAAAAAAACCTTCGAAAAATAACAGACCTACACAATATACATTATATTTAAAACAGAAAATAAAATAGAAATGAAACATGATAGATATATATTTATTTCTCAGGAGATATAAGGAGATTCGTACTTATATTTAACCTTTTTTTATTTGCAATGATAGTCAGAGTTACAAAATATAAACGCAATAAGAGAACTAATAATAATATAGCAATCCGTTTTATTTTAACTGATCGATATTACTTAATCTCCAATTTGAAATATTCTTCCTTTACTATTAAAAAAATGGTGTTAAATTTATTTTTTAAATTTCTTCTTATATTTGTCAGATAAAATCCAGTTATTCGACTAATTCAATTTACTATATCTCAAATCACAACAATATTAAACCTGTTACATGTTATTTTAAAAAACGAATAAAAAATGACTGCGTTCAGCGTTTATTTCGCAAATGTTGAAAGTTTTCTTTGCGCTGATTGTATTATACTTTTAGATCTAGAGGATTGGTGGATTCTTAGCACACAGACAGTCATAAAAATGGTTTCAAACTGTTGTGTTCCGCTGAAACGTACCTATTACGTTAACTAATTGATAATGGCTGCATTCAACAGAGAAAACTAATCAGTTATAATTAATCAAAACTGTCACTTTCAATTAGACTCTAAAACTAGATGTATCATTAATTATAATTTCGTTATATACAGAGTGATTCAGAACAACCCAAGTGTTCCTGAAAAAACGTATTCCTGACCTAATTCTAAGATGATTTTTCTTTTATAAAAATTTTGTCTGAAGCTTAGTTTTCAAATTACAAGAAGAAATAGCATATCATGGGCTGCGTAGAAGAGACGGGCAGGAATGGTCCTGAGACGGTTAGACGCAGGTAGAGACCCTTTAATCAGAGTCGCGACATCAGACAGTTAGTTTTGATTGGTCCATCATTTTTCAGCAATTCCCGTCTATATTCGAATGTCTATATTGTAGGGCGATGCGCGTATCGATACGCTAAAATTCGTTCGCAAATTAACCTATTTTGCGAAAAATGGATAATTGTCATTACTTTAATTAATTTAAATTAAAACATATAAAACGATAATGAAATGGAATAAAATCATCCATAATGTAATCTGTATGATCAATCATGACTATTAATAATTTATTAATTGTTTGATATTGTTTTGGATAAAAATATGAACTTTTTTTAAAGTGATCTACTAGTGATTTATGAGGGTGCGTTCCACATAACGCTCGTAACGCTCAGATCGCTCTTCGTGCTATTCCAC